GGCCATAATTTTTTCGCGTCTTTTTTGCTGGCAAGGAGCCAAGACGTTAAATTAAAAGCTTTGCGTAACATTTTGTTTTTTGAAAACCGTAGTGATGCCCTGGTCTTGGTGAAAAAAATTTCAAATATTAACTTAAGAGCGCTAAAATTGTAAAAATAAATTTATCAACTGACAGGAAACTTAACTTCAAATATTTATTTATAAATAAAGTAAAAAATTATGGTTATTTGAAATTTAAGTCGGCTATTCCTCGATGGGTTTCGTGAGTTGTTGAAGAATTTATGAGAAATATTGATTATTTGATTATTATTATTATTATTTATTCTTCTCGGTCAATACAAAAATTTTAAATTGGAAAAAAGAGAAGAAAGGGTTTACAACTAGCAGATGTCTGCTAAAACGCCCGACATCAAAAGAGACACGGCCGCCGCGGTAAACCCACACTATCGGAAAAAAAAGAACGATATCACAAACACTTTAAAATCTTCATCTTGAATTACTGCCACAAGTGCTCCTTGCAGAGGGAGGGAAAATTGCTTGAGGGACAGTTTTTAAGGGCAGGTGGCAGGTCGTTCCAAGGCTTGACTATCCTGAAGGAGAAAGCGCCGCGACCGAACTTGTTGTTGGCCGAGGGTGGCTGGAGGCGGGGGTCCTGTTTGTCGTCACCTCTCAGCTTACGACCCGTTACAATTCGGGCGCGCGCGTCAAAGTCCGTCTCGCCGCTCAGGCACTTTTTGAAGAAGTAGAGGTCGGTGTACCTGAGGTGCATGTCAATGGGCATAATTCTCTGCTCAATTGGCGGCGGAGGGGTGCGGCCGTAGATGAAGTGCAGTGCCCGATTCTGCACTCGGTTGAGTTTGTTGACGTTCTCCTGCAACGTAGGGTGCCACGCAGGGAGACCGTAAGTCATAGTTGGCTTGACGAGCGAGAGATACGCAATTCTTTTGACGCGGGGGGTGCAGCCGCGCAAGTTTCGGGCCGCAAAACCGAGAGATTGGGACGCCTTGCTGCACACAATGTCCGTGTGGATCTGCCACCGGAGATCCCTCGAGATGTGGACGCCGAGCATTCGCTCCTTGTCCACGAACTCGAGCACCGATTCACCGAGGTTGTAGACAAACTCCAACCGATCGCGCGCGTGAGAAATGTCCATCACTTTGCACTTTTTCGCGTTAAGGCTCATTCCGTTATTTGAACACCACACGTCAATGTTGCACAGATCTTCCTGCAGCTCGTCGGCGTTTTCGGGAGAGTCGATTTCCATGTAGATGGTCGCGTCGTCGGCGTACTGAACCAGGGTGCTGTTGCCCACGACCTCAGGGAGGTCAGCCACGAAAATGTTGAAGAGGAGGGGCCCCAAAACACTGCCCTGAATTACTCCGGACGAGACCTCACAGGGCTCGGATTGTGCGCCATTGAAGGAGACGAACTGAGTTCGGCCGACGAGAAAATTTTCCACCCACTTAAGCAGCCGCCCTTTTATGCCGTAGTGGGCGAGCTTTGAAAGGAGCCGTGCGTGCGGCACCCTGTCGAAGGCCTTGCTCCAGTCCAGAAAAACTGCATGAATGTGCGCACCACTTGTCTTGTCCAGGGTTGCCGTCCATTTGTCAATCACACCTGTCAAGAGAGTTGTGCAGCTCCGTTTTGAGCGAAATCCGTGTTGGCACGCAGGAATTAAACTTTCTCTTTCCAGAAATTGGGAAATTTGGTCTCGGATTATTCTTTCCAGCGCTTTCCCGACTAGAGACGTGACGCTGATTGGCCTGTAGTTTTTCATGTCCTGCTTGTCGCCGTCCTTGAAGATGGGCGTCACTGCTGCAGTTTTCCAGTCTGCGGGAAGTTCGCCAGTCTCGAGAGACTTTTGAAAGAGGTGCGAAAGGCTTGGAGAAAGAGAGGCGGCGCAGTTTTTCAGCAGCACAGCCGGCACTCCATCGGGGCCCGCGGCTGCATTCGCTTTTATTGCCTGCAATTCATTGTGCACCAGCCAAGGTATGCATACTATCTCGCATAGTGTAGTAGCCGAGGAATTTACGCTCGCCGGTGTGCGCCTAATGAATGGGAAAATATTTGTGGCCTGGGAGAAATTACTCTTGAAGGTGTCACTGAAGCCGGCTGCCACCTCGCGGGGCTCGACAATATTTTTCCCATTGAGCTCAAAACTGGCATTATTATTCGGCACCTTGGTTTTTGAATTAATGTACCTCCAGAACTCATTGTTGCCATCAGGGCCTTTTCCGAGCTGCCATAGCCATTTATTTCGCGCCGACCGAATGGCAGATTGCGTTGTTTTTCTGGCTGCTAGGAATGCTTGCCGCGCCGGGAGCGTTTTTTCCGTTTGCCATTTTTTGTAGAGCTGGTCGCGAATTTTGATCAGCGAGTTTGTGTATTTATCCAGCCATGGGAGAAGTCTTCTTTTGGCGCCACCGATTTTTTTCTTTGGTACAAATTCCTCTACACATTCAAAGACGATCTTTTTCCAATTTTCCCACAGCTCATTCACCTCGTTAATCGCGAAAACTCTAATTAGCCTCTGAGCGAGTGCGGCATTCAAATCGGGCCAAGACACTCGACGAAAGTCCAAAACTTCGCGCGGCGCCGACATGGGGCGCAGCGCGGTGGCCGTAAGGGTGGCGAAAAGGGCGTCATGATCGCTCACCCCCGGCACCACCTCCGTGGCCGCAACAAGGGCAGACACGTCGGTCAGGAACAAGTCGAGAGTGTTTTCTGTTGTATCTGTTGTTCTGGTAGGGTCTTTTATTAATTGTGTCAGGGCCATTAATGAAAACGCGTCGACAAAATCTTCGGCGGGGGCGGCGCGAGCGAGCGGTGGTTCACTTTGCCAGCAAACATTGAGATTAAAATCGCCAGTCAAAAAGCAGCCGTCAAAATTGTGTTGCTCGGCCGCCGCGAGTTCAAGTGAATTGATCAGCGCCGCGTTGTAGGCCGCGTCGGAATTTGGCCGCCGGTACGCAGAGCCGACCAGGAGACGCAGGTTGCCAACTTTTATTTGAGCCCAAACAATTTCCGCGCGCCCCTCGAGGTGTCCGAGTCGTTTTGGCTGCAGGTGTGGACGAATCGCGAGTAGCACCCCACCCGCGGCGCGTCGGCAGCCGAGTCGGTCCTTTCGAAGGACGACGTACTCTCGCGGCAGCACCTCGTGATTGTGAATATCAGGCGAGAGCCACGTCTCGTTCACCGCGCATATATCGGCCGAATGTGTTTGAATCAGGGCGTGAATATCGGCGGCCTTCTTTCTGTCCTTTAAGGAGCGGGCATTGAAGGACAAGAACGAAAGGGCATTTCTGTTTATCCGGCGTGGCGCGTTTGTGACACGAGGGGGGCTGGGAGGCGGCGGCGGCAAACTCCAGAATGAATCATTAAAGGAGGGAAGGTTGCAACTCCAGCAGCGGTAGTTTTTATTTTTTCGCAGCCTATTGAACTCTTTGTCGGAGAGCTTTTCTGCCTTGATGAGACACGTTCTGTGAAATATTCGGCCGCACTCGCAACAATTTATTTTTACTGCATTTTTGCGTCCTACCTTGTCGCAGTGTACGCAGAGAGCCGGGGCTGACCTTGTCGGGCCGGGCAGCACGTTGATGTCACCGCAAAGCAGCGCGAAGATGGTGAGACAGCTGCCTGCGGCGGACACTGCCGAGCGAAGGCTGCATTTGTCGCGCGGTGCACATATCAAGCGAGCGGTTTGCACATTCCTGTATGCGCTCCGCTCGCTCACCTGTGCACAGCTGACCGCGACCCAGCAGCTCACCACGCAGTTATTGTTGACCTCCAGGGTGGTGAACTGGGCAGTCAGGGGGCTCGGCAGCGCTCGCGGGGCCTGCTGGTTGTGTCGGCGTCGGAGGATGTCAACCTGGAGCCGCAGGAGGATGACACAGGCCAGGGTGAGTACCACGGTCCGCTGCATTCCGGCGCCGGCCATTCGTCTCCGTCTTTTGGAATGTTTCAATTTTCGTCTCAGTTTCGGATGGAAACAGGGGCAAAATGTCCCAAATCGTTTGGGGGGCATTTTGTGGTGATGAAAACACTTTTATATAATTAATTTATGTACTAATTTTTGTCAAAAGAATTCCACAGCTCTTGGAGCCAAAACATGTAGAGCAGGATTTTTTTTTTTCTTGAACATTAAAGAACTCACAAAATCCATCGAGGAAAGGCCGATTCAAATTCAAATCATGAAAATCTAATAAAAAAATCTTTTAGAAATGATTTATGCATCAAATATTTCTGCCATGTTTGTGATGAATGGTATGTTTTTAATTTTTATTCTTGCGGCTGTGTCCAACTTTCACCTTTGAATCCAACATTTTTTTTTATGAGAACTCGCCTGATCAAGTCAAATCCAGACTCTGGCGCCAGCGTCGTTAGTCAATTTTCGTTTTGCAACAAAACAGTTTCGCGAACGAGGAAGGAAAATTTTGTGACTTTCTTCGACGAGCGGTCAAGGCTACGCGCACTCCGCGGCCAGTCACGCATTTTCATACAAAATTTCCCTGTTGCGGTGTCGCAGCGACGGCGACATTGTCTCTTCTTGGCTCCTGGCTGGGATTCCAGTGGGTTCAAAGATCTTGGCGTCAGCTGGACAAGGTGAACCGGCGGCGGCGGCGGCGAAATTCTCCTGAACACGGCACAGCATCAAATTTCTTATTTCTTTGTGTCAGCAAAATTCCCAATAATTCCCCCATTTTTTTATCTCCACATTTACAAGGAAATAATTAAATTCAGGAATTCGTCTTAAAACTTCAGTCATGACTCATAAGTTTTGAAAATATTCTTAGAACAAAAATATATCATTTTTTGAAAATTCAACGACTTTACGGGTTCTTTACAAAAATGAATCAAATTTTTGTCCTCGTGACAATAATTGTCCTTAGACCTTTGTTTGCGCATTTTTTTAATAGAGCTTTGCGGCCAAGGCCAGTAAACACCGAATACGCTTCTTGCCCAATTGTTTATTTACTCTTTTCCGCTTGTTTGCGTTTCAGGTGCGGGTGGACCTGGGCAAGGCACCGCTCAAGCCGCGTGACCTCTTCATCGACATTAGGAAAAACCACCTGCGCTTCGGCATCAAGGGCCGCGACCCAATCCTCGACGGACCCCTGCCGCACGAGATCAAGGTGGATGAGAGCACTTGGACCGTCGACAATGGACGCGCGCTGCTCATCAACCTCGAAAAGGTGCTCCCAAAATTAATTCGTCCAACCAAAAGTGACTCTTAACTTGGCCTAGATGTCAACGAGCCGATGCGATCTAGATCAGAAAATTATTTCAAGTGTCACTTGATTTGCACTCTAATTGAGAGTCAAATTATGAATAATTTCTCACAAATGAAATTCCTCATTCTTTTTTTCACTGTTCATGAGCAAAACAAAATTCTATAAAATAAATAGCCATCGTGCTAAGTTTAATTTCAGCATTTTTTAAAGTATGCAAACTTCTGAACACGGGTGTGTTTCAGGTTGCATAAGTCATTCATTCAAAGATTTGCAATATAAGTTTTTTTTTAATCTTGACGTATTAAATAAAATTATAAAAATTGCTGGTTTTTAGGTTTTCAAATCTTAATAATAACCCTTTTGCAGGTGAACCAAATGAACTGGTGGAATCGTCTGATTACGACACACCCTGAGCTCAACACAAAGAAAATCAACCCTGAGCCATCGAAGCTCTCAGATCTGGATGGAGAGACAAGAGGAATGGTCGAGAAAATGATGTACGACCAAAGGCAAAAGGAGCTCGGCCTCCCTACCTCTGAAGATCAAAAGAAGCAAGACATGCTGAAAAAGTAACATTTTCCCATTATCTTTTTTTTATATTTTTAACTCTTGCTTTTCATTAGATTCATGGAACAGCATCCTGAAATGGACTTTTCCAAGTGCAAATTCAACTGACAGAATACACTGGCAAGCACAATAGGCTAAGTTCTATACTTAACACAAATTAACAATAAAATTACCGCACACTTCTGTTGCTACGGTGCGAATAATGAGCTGGATAATTCTTTTTGAAAAGTGCAAAATGGATTAAATAAAGAAACTCTCATTCCAAAATCAGTGTTCCGTCTTTTTATACATCCGAAATAAGGTACGGAAACAAACAAAACTACGTATTGTCCGTAGCAAATTCTTCATTCTTTCAAGTTCTTGTACAAATAATTAATTTCCTTTGGAGCAGCATAACTGAAAATTTGAAAGCGCGGCCACCGAATTCCAAAGCGCTCAGTGGATTCCTGTAGCATTTAAAAGGGGGTTGATTTCGGCGCGTCTTTATTATCGAGGCAGGTTGCACATCTCGCAGCTCGACTGGCTTGGCTGGTTCTCGTAGGTGCAGTATTTACACTTCCAAGGTTCCGCACCAGGCAGCGATGGCATCTCATTCATTGGTGAGAAGCTGCTGGGGGCCGACATGTCTGAGCTGCCAGCTGCAAGCATCAGTTGCTCGACTGTTGTCCACTGCGACGTTCGAGACCACGTCCAAGCAGCCTCTGCGTCCTCTGTCCTCACTGCCTGCAGCAGGCCAGCCATGTGATCCTGAAACAATTTATTATTTATTCTCAATTCAATTGAAATTTCAGCTTTGGAGGCAGAAAATTTGAAATAATTGTGTCGTGTTGCCTTCTGTTTAAAAAAAATTAAACTTTGACACTGTCAGAGGAAAGTGTGATAAAAAATTCAAAAGCTAACAATTTTTATTTTTCAATTCACAACAGTCTATTGGTTTCATGAAATTTCTCACCTTAAATGGCAACATGTCCATGGTGGCAAGGTAGAGCAGCACATGGAAGTCTGACATGGCCTCAAGGAACCTTCTCGCCATCTCGGCTGTGTTGTCGCCCTCGTTCAGCAAATTGAACTGCTGGTAATAATCAGTGAGAGCGTTGAAATCTTGGATTTGCTTGTCAACGAGTCTGAAACAATTTCTTTTATTATTCTCTACTCTTGAAATATTTTGCAAATTACAAACCTGTTTTCATTTGGAAAGGGATTCTTGTTGTGCACTGACTGGTTCGCCAAGAAGGTGTATTGGGGGTTGAGAGGGGTGGAGGCAGGCACGTCCACCAGCAAGTACTCAACAGGCAGAGGCCTGGCGCGTCTTTGGACCTCATTCTTGAATTCGTCAGTCACCTATGGCAGGGAAAATACAAAATAATCTTCAAAGCTCTGAAAAAGTAGAAATGCAAACCTTGTAGAAGACATCAGGCACAAACTCGTTGTCGCCCTGGATCCTGATGTAGCCCAGCTCGGGGGCGTCCTTGGTTGGCACAAGACAGTTGTCCCTGACCAGGGCCATGCATTGGTTGGACACACTGTAGCCCTCCATGTGCACCTGATTGTTCTTGTCTCCGGTCACACAGACGGTGACAAACTTTGAGCCGAACTGTGACTTGTGAATGTAGTTGGGGTGCTGGTTCTGGAAGTAGCCGGCCGTGATGCACTCCTGGGCCGACAGGAAGTGGGTGTCGATACCACGAAGATTTTTCACCTGAGGTAGGTTATCAGTTTGTTAAAACACTCATTTAAAAAAATTCTAGTTTTAAGCATTAAAAAAAAACATAATTATATTAGATGTGTTTAATAATGATATTTCAATCAAACTTACTGTTCCTTTTTTAATGTCTTCTGCAACTAAGTCGGTGAAGATCCAGCCGACCTTCTTCAGACCTAAAGCCTGCGCCAAACTGTCCACAATGTCCTGCCGCTCGTCAGGCAGCAACTTGACCAGATCCTTTGAGTTTTCCTGATGGTTGAAAAAAATCAAATTTATATGTACCAAAAAATCAAATTGTTGTTTTACTTGAGGCGGTTCGTAGATGGCTGCAACAGTGGCTCTGATCCCGAGAGGCACGTCTGTGTGGGCCTCGTAGCGGCCGTACAGAAAGCCAATGCGCTGGTAGCTTGTTGTCCGCCAGAAATTGAGGAAACGCTCCACGAGCCTCGAGTTCTCAAACATCACATTGTCAACATGTCGGTAGGACTGAAATTTTTGCGAGAACAGTTTTTTCTTGTTTAAGAGATTAATTCATGAAAATTACCTGTCTATTGAGGGTGACTGCACTTGGCGAGCACTTGGTACAAACCGCAGCTGGCCACGGCAAGTGGTCCCTGCATCCAGGTTTGATCTTGCATTCGAGATCTTCCAAACCAAGAAACTTTGATCTGAAAATTTAAAAGCAATTTAAATGCAGGACAATCTTGATTTTGAAATGTGTGTTCAAACTCCCTACCCACTGGCAGATGAGGACTTTTTCTTCAGATAAGAGTGGAAGGACAAATGTTTGATGTTGTGCTCCTTGAGGTAAGCCTCATCGTACGGCTCCAACGGTGAGCAGTGGATGCACCTTCCATTCTGTCCGTGACGACACAGTTTCTCGTCTCTGCCCCTCTCGATTTTGCCAGACTCGGCCAGCAACTGCACGTCGATGGGTTCCATGACGATTTCCTTTCTAACAGTCTCCTCAGTCTGCATCGATTCCTCCTGATCCATTGACGGAGCGTGCGGAGAACGGAACAGATAGAAAACTTGACCACTTGCATACTTGTTCAGCAGATTTCTAGATGAGATGGGCACAGCAGGACTGCTCGTCCTCTGCTCTGTGTGGAGCGAGTAGTTGTCTGGCGAATCTTTCAGTTCTTCGCAGACCTGTGAGAATTTTTCAAAATTCAAGTGTTTCAGTCATTTGAGCTCAACACATACCATTTTGAGCAGGTCGCTTGTGGAGGCAGCTGGAGAAGTAAAGACCATGCGGTGCATCTTCTCCGCAGAGCGCACCCGAATGATCTGCAAAAAGAAATTTTTGAAAAAAATCATTTTTTGACAAATTCTTGGGCACACGGAATGAATGACAAGGCAGATTTTCACGGCGAAAGGGTTCAGCGAATTTCAGTTTTTCGAACAGAAGTTCGTTCGAAAAGTCACGTATTTAGAGTTAATTTAGAAGTATAAGGGATTGTGAAGAGAGAGAAAACTTACCAGTTCCTTGGAATTCATTTTGTAATCTTAAATTACGAATTCTGAAAGTTCAACAAATTCAAAGACTGTTCATTTTCCAGCTGTATGAAGTTTCATCAACAACACACGGAAGGTTGGCCACAGGCACAGGCGGGTAGTGCAGGAAGGAGTTCAAACCTTCACAAATTATGCATGAATTATTTGCTGTTTCACACAATAAAAAACAATTTGAACTGCAATTAAAGTATCAAAATTCTAATTTTATTGTAATTTTTGCATTTAAAGAGTTTTTATTTTAAAATTTATTTGTTCTTTGTCAACATTCTGTAAATAATTTGTGGCTATATCTATTAACAACGCCATCTAGGCAACCTAATCGAAACTAAAGTGCAAATTTGAGCGTTCGCGGCGCTGCAGTCTCCAATTTTGGCGATTCTCGTTTGTTTTGCAGCTCGCCTCATGGGTGATTGACGAACCGCAGAGCGTAATTTAGCCGGTTTTCAAGCTAATTTAAGCCGAATTCCACTTCACGAACGCTCAATTCAAGTTTTAACACATCCTTCCGCATCTAAAAAACATATTTAGTGAGTATCACGCCGAATTAGCCGACATTTTGACTCGAAAAGCCAGCACGAATTTGCGGCGCACCTGGCCTTCCGTGCATGACATTGAACATTCACTTCCTTGTTTTCCGGCGAATCGCGCCCAAACGCCGCGTCGCCTCTCTTGATTTTTTTGTTGCGATTTCCATTACTTGAAACTTGAAGTTGACTTTTGGAAACTTTCAGAACCATGAATGAGGAGAAGCTGAAGAAGTTGCAGGCGCAGGTGCGCATCGGTGGCAAGGGCACCCCGCGCCGCAAGAAGAAGGTTGTGCACGCAACCGCCGAGACCGACGACAAGAAGTTGCAGAGCTGCCTGAAGAAGCTCAACGTCAACCCCATTCCTGGCATCGAGGAAGTCAACATGTTCAAGGACGACGGCACCGTCCTGCACTTCAACAACCCGAAGACACAGGCTGCCGGTGGCGCCAACACGTTTGCCATCACGGGCCGCGCCGACGAGAAGCAAATCACCGACATGCTTCCAGGAATCTTCAGCCAACTTGGACCGGACAGCATGAGCCAGTTGAGACGTCTGGCCACGTCCATCAACGCGCAGCGAGTCAGCCAGCCTCGACCGGCTGAAGGCGAGGACGATGACTTCGTGCCTGACCTCAAGTCTAACTTCGACGAAGCCAGTAAAGGAGAGGCCCCGTCTGCCAAGAAATCGGTATGTCTTCACGGTTGAGGACTCTCTTTTTTTAATCATAACTTGATTCTTAACAGTCTGGTTAATCCATGTTTTTCTTTTGTTTCAGGATTAAACGTTTAAAACTATACCAAATTGACTGTTGCGATCAGAAACAAGCCGGAGACGTTGAAACAATTTTAAATTGACGAGGAGAAGAAAGTAAAGGAATTTCCATGGACATTCCTAGTGCCTGTTTGATTTCAGCAGCAGTAACACTTGGAATTTTCTTTCTCAACGCCACCCATTTTTTGCAGTTCTTGTACTTCCTTTGTGTTGGTGTAATATTTTTTTTCAAATTAAAGAGAAATGTTTCCGCAAGTCTTAAATGATTTGTACGAAATGATAGACTACTCGATTACTTGGATTTTATTTAGTCACGTCAAAGTACCCTGATATTTTCTATGATTGACCTAATTTTTTAGTACAAATCTGAAGATATTATTTGTTTATGTTGAGCTACAAAATTTTAATAACTGAATATTAATAAAATATTATTTTAAAATTGTTCTTGAAGCGCAAATCAGGACTCTTAATTGTACAGGGAAACTTAAACATTTCTTGTGCTTCATAATTTTCATGTAGACTTCATAAAACTATATTAACTTGTTGAGAAGACAACAGTACAAATACAATTTTTATTTCACATATAGATTGATAAAGCCTGTTGTTAAATATTATGATGAGAAATCCAAGGCAAACAAAGCAACTTCAAGTATAAATCAATCAACTGTAGATTTTCTTTTTCTTCTTCTCACTTAGCTTTTATTGACACATTCATCATCAAGCAACATTTTTATTTTACAATCCAGAATTACATAATTTCACCGCGGAGAGTCAAGCAATTCACAAACAGAACAGGCGCTTGCTTGATGACGGGCCGTCCCTCGGCGGCTCGCTGGTCTCACGTCGTCAGCCTTTGAAAGCATGTTCTCTCAAAAACATGCAATGATACAGAGTAAAAACGTAGTACTGCTTACACGTCAACAGTATTAATTGACGACACACTTTTGTAGCAATAAATAAAACAACTGCGCTTTATACTGCTCCGTACTTCCAAATGTAATTAATTAATCGGCAAATAAGAGTGACGCAGCTGGTACATACGCGTTAACATAAAATTATACACTTTAATCATATTCGTAGCAGAGAAGTGCTCGTATGGCGGCGAATAAATTAAAATCTTGCTCTCTCTCTCGCTACATGTTGTATATTGTCCAACGATCGATTTTCATTCTAATATAGCAATTTGATTATTTACATTACACGATGACACCAATTTGTTGTACTTTGAAGTTTTACTTGAGTGGGTGTAGTTTTTTACATTTTCAAGGAGTGCTGAGGAGTTTAGAAAAATAATCCCAAAATAATCAAAAAAAGAGAAAACAAACCAAAACATGAAAAAGATTTTTCGACTTACTGGCTTCTTAAAAAGTTAAGATATTTTTTTCTTGTCATTTTCAGCAATTTTAACATTTTTATAGGCTTTTTGAAATTTTCACAGAACGCTTTTTCCTTTTATCGATAATTATACAGCGAGATAAAATTATTACAACTTATTTGCTACACAGGAAAATCTTCAAACTGACCACTTATGCGATTCGGTGAAAACAGCAAGTGAGCGTCGAAAGTTAAAAATAATTATCCACCATTTTTCTTTTGTCCAGCTCACATCAGCCAAAAAAGGAAAGTCGAAAAAGGATTTTGGAATTTCGTGTACAAAAATAACTTTGCTGTTCTTTACGTTAGCGACGTACGGTTTGTGAAAATTAATCGAACAAACGTGTCTCTATGCTCTCGTGGCGAAGCGAGTCTGTGCACGAAAGGAGCTTCTATTATTATCACTCGGTTTTCTGGGTAACTGGAGGAAATTCGCTGTCGTCGTCCAACTGGAGTGGTCCCTCGGGAGGCAGCTCCGTGGCAAACTTCATTTCGCGCAGTTTGTCCGATTCTAGAAGCACAGCAGAAGCAACTTTGGTTAATTTGCTTGGTGAACTACAAAATATTTCGACCCAAAGATTTTCAAAAATTCAGACATAATAAGAGGAAAAGCGGGTTTGATTGACCTTGCCATAGAAAATATGTTGAACAACAATAATAATATATCCATGGAAAAACCCAACACCACACAAATTCAAAATTACACTTTTCGATAAGACTTACCTGCCGGAAAAATTGATTTCAGTTTGGCCCACTTACACAAAGAATCTTTTAAAATCATTTTTTATTTTAACTAATCTTGAAACAGCCAAGAAAATAATAAAAATTTGTTGAGAAAAAGAGGTTTAATGAATTTAATGTTGCAAGTAACATTTATTTCAATAATTTTCATTTTTTAGGGCCAATTTAATTTTAACTAGTATTCTTTGTGTTGTTCTCCTGATCTTAATTATTTTTATTTATAGGAATCTAGAAGTAAGGTTGAAAAAAAAAGATTTTGCGACACATAGATTTAAAAAGAAGATACTCTACTAAAGGTGTTGGACTTAAATTTTAAAGTGAACGTGAATGTACATGATGAGGAATTTTGATTGATGCAAAGCAGCACAGAGGTACTTGCGCTGCCCAAAATGTCCTTTAATTCTTTAGTACAAATTTTAAGGGGGGCCAGTAGTACCTGACATGACGCTGGCGCTGCCACTGCCCTTCAAAATTCCAGCGTAGCTACTAATGGCGCCTGCTGCGGGAGCACAAATTTCAACAATCAAAATTAATTCGGCGGCCAACTGGATGGGGTCCAGTTGGTCTGGTCACAAAGCTACTCTCAGTCAGAGAAAGTCAAAGGAACAAAAACTGCTGTGTGAAGGAACAGAGAGAGAGAGAGAAACATCAGTCTGTCGGGTGTGCAAAAAAATGTCTGGCGTGCCGCACGAGCGGAGACACAACGTCTCGCGCCCTTCGTCGGCAGAGGCCAATTCATTGTAGGCAAGGAATTGCTTGGGAGGTCTGGTGCAAACACATTTGGCACCACGTCCTCGGGGTGGAGATTAACACACCATGCTAAATGCGGTGTCCAGTCGACTTACCTTCGGGCTTGGGCAGCGCAATGGAGCTCGAGGGTTTGTCGACTACGTCAGTCGAAATAGCCTTTGGCGGGCAGCCTTCTGTGGCTTTTCCGTCCAACCTGGATTAAAAAATTCAAATTTTTAGAATTGTTCAAGGCAAGAAAAAGAATTTAAAAAATGGTCTGCTTAATTCAAATAAGTAATTTGAAACAAGAAACTTTTAACAAACTGTCGTAGTCCAGCTTGCAAAAATAACTTTAAATTTAAGTAATTGAGCTATTTATAATTTGGCTTACTTGTGCTGTCTGAGGAGAACGCAGTCACCGCCCTCAGCAGTGTTGATTTCGTAGACATACAGGTAGCCATCTGCCGATGCCACCAACAGCCTTGGCACCTTCTGAATGCTGCAATTAGAAGAAACGTGCATTGCGTTGAAACAATTATGCAAATTAATCAGCTTGCGCGGCGAATTACCTAACTACACAGCACATACTGCGAACACCTTGGAATGGCAGGTGGGCAGTAGCGAAAGCCCTTCCTTGAGAGAACACGTCCGTCATCCTGGCGGGTAAGAGGTTTGCAGATCGAGACACAGCCTTGGATAAATAGTCCATCCAGCCAGCACCAGCATCAGCAGGTTGCGGTAAATTTTGTTGGCTGTTGATAAAAAAATTTAATTTAAATGTAATATAAATATTTAAATTTTATTGATCAAAATGCTTTTTAAACAAGTTACCTTTGCCTGGGGCTGTCTGGTTGGTCGAGGCGGAAAACATGCACCGTTTCGGTATTGCTGGAGCAGCAGAGGAAAGTGGCGTCTGGGCTGAAGGCCAAACTAGAGATGGCCACACACCGTTTGACGCCGCGCCGGAACTCCCACAGTCGACTTCCGTCGGCAACGTTGAAGACTCGGATGACAGTGCCGCGCTCCGAAGCGGTGGCTAATTGCTGACCCGTGTAGTTGAAGGCCATCGCAGCCAGTGGCGATTCGTGGGCGGGGATCATAATTTTTGCACTCTGGTCAGAAAGAAAATTGTTTAACAATTATTTGTTTAACTCCTCAGGGTTGTAGATTCGCAGATTTGGCTTCATTACCACTTATCAAATTAACAGCTCAGACAGATTCAAAACAACGAATTTCAGATTGTCAATATAAAATATACCAAGTCAAAATTGACAGTTTGAAAAGAATTAAGGAAAGATTTTATTTTGAAAGAAATTCAATTCAAATTATTTAATGAAAATTTTTTAGAAAATTGGGGTTTTAATTCAAATCATGAATATTAATTTCAGTTAGTGTCATCAATAAGCAAAAGGATTTTTTGAAAATTTTTAACTATTCGGAAATTATTCTTGTAATTGAATTAAAATTTATTGTCATATTCAATGAAGTCAATATTTTTATTAGTTAAATAAAATAAAATAAAATATAAAGATACAAATACTTTAAATTTTTTAAATAATATCCTTTCAAAGCAGGAACAATCATGGCAATTGGACTGTTTAAAAAAAGGAGGATATAAATAATTTTCTCACCAGGTTTAGGGCGTCGAACACCTGCACCTCACCAATGGTGCTCGAGCCAGGGTATGCGAGGTAGCTGACCTCTCCATTGCACAAGGTGCAGAGGCCCATGGGGTTCGGTGGCGTGTCTCTGATTGTGTGCAGGACGCGCATGTCCTGGATGTTGTGGATGTACAACGATTCCTCCAGACATACTACCAGCCGCTGAAATCAAAACCATTCATTGGCATTTAATAGATGAGCTAATAAAATGGCATTGCTCGCCGCACACAATAGGAGGTCAAACATCAGACGAGTGCGGTGGCTCGTTTTATAAGCAAATACCGATCGCCAAATGAATGCGTCTGGCTGATTTACATAAAAAATTTGCGACACAATGTCAGCAAAAACAATGCTGTAAGAATAAACCTAAGCTCTTTTTACTTTTAGCAGACCTTGTAATAGAATTTGCATTTGCAAGAATAGAAAAAATATTAATTCAATTTCTCATCGGAAAAAGTATTTTAAATTTTAACCAATTTGGATTTGAAAGAGGTCAATGATGAGATTTTCTTATACAAATAAAACTTATCTTTAAGTGTCACAAAATTTCTTAACATCATCGAAATCAATTAAACGCAATAAGCAATTCATTTTTGTTTTAATTTGATAGAATATTACTTCTTTGAATTTACTTTTTTAATAAGCATTGGCCCAAAATTTATAATTTTGCACTTGATTAACTTTTCTCCTCAATAGCAAATTGCATGAATTTCCATCTTTAGTCTTTGTTTTCCAGTTTTGTACAGTAGTTTTAATTAGATTACTCGAGACTCATTCCCGGGCTTTCTCAGACTTTTTTTTATTTTCATCTTTGCCAGCGTCTCACCTTTCTGTTGAGCTTGATGGCGAGGATGGTGTTTGAGTAGCTGTAGTTGCAGATCTCGGTGCCTTTTTTAAAGTGGCAGACCTTCAGCTTGCGAGGAGACGAAAGACTGACCACCGCTACCAGGCTACTGTTGAACAGCCGTTCCACCAGGCAAATATCCTCCGAGTCTGCGAAAAAATTGACATGTTAACTCCAGCAAAATGAAAACAACAACCGTGGGCAGGGAAGGAATAAAAATGAGAGAGAATGACGGAGATAGGGATACTGCGCAGTTTGCACGGCTAATGGCATTGCGGTTGCTCAACTTTCTAATGCCACGGTCATGGAGATTTTATGATTTTTCTCTGATAAAATGCGGAAACTCATTTCGTCTGGATTTTGGTTGAAAAATGGTAAAAAAAAAAAACTGAAAATTCATGAGTAAAATTTAACTAAAAATCGCGTTATTTCTTCTTCATTTGAATAAAAAGAAATCATATTTGAACATTTTCTTGGGAAAAAAAATTCAGAAAATGGCCAACTAAATTAGAATCTTTAATTTAAATCATAAACAAAAAATGAATTACTCAAATTAAGCAAAACAAATCAATTAGGAGCTTTATTTTTAAGTCACTTGTTGTTCTCACCATTCTCGTAGATCTGGACTAGATTGTCGACTGCAGATAGTGTGAACAACTTGTAGCCAGTTTTCGAGCCAACGGCCAGCGACCTGAAATAGAGGGATGGTTTCAGACAGTCTTCTTGCGACAAAAACATCTTCCGTCTGCGTCCGCGTGACGCAACTCCGTCGTTGTTCAGAAACTCATCATCGCCGTCATAGATCGGTTTAATCTCCGAGTGAGCGAGGAAAAAAAATTAAAGTCCGAGACAGTCAACGATCTCGCGCACACCCGTCGTCTTAGTCGCGATAATGAGAACAATAATAAATAAAAAGGATATTGTTGCTTATCGGGTGAAAAGTAACAAGTGGCGCAGCTGCTGGAAGGTTGAGATGATTCAAGGCTAATAGGTGCACTCGACGCGCCCGATTTCGACACTCGCACAAACGAGACTGACGGGGACGACTTGTTGCATTTTTATCGAGGATAAATTATTATTACAAATGTAATAAGCGCGCGGCAGTTCCCTCTCCAGCCGATTTTGACTTTCACCTCCACTGCAGCTGTGCAGAGCGACGATTGCAATATACCGCGAACCTGCCTGCGAACACACGCGTGCCTGTCGATTGCAAAAATGTTTGCTTTTATTTGTCAACTACGCGTAAAAGGAGAAAAAATATCATTAAATTCTGCAGCTGATTTTATGTAAAATAAGACATTTTGATATTGCTGCAGAAAAAATAACAGGAAGATAATTATTTTAATTAACAGAGGCTTAAATTATATTATTGCAATCTCGGAAGATTTTTAAGGTTTAGTAATATTTTGATTGCTTGAAATAAAAAATTGATTTTTGTTTCCATATTAATTGAAGAAATTTGCAAAAAAATATTTTTATGAGATTTTTACGTGGTTTTACTGAAACAGTGCAAGAAATCTTGGCTTTAAAAATTGGAATTGAATTTTTATTGAGAAATTAATTTTTAAACGACCCAAAAATTAATATTCCTGTCACAAAAAAAAATCAATTAAAACCCAGAAAATTAGGGCAAACAGAGCAACTAAACTGGTCTGGATCGCTTTGTTTGCCATTTTTTTTCCAATTTTTTAATTTTTTGTGACACAAGAATAGTAATTTTTTGGGTCATTTAAAAATTAATCCCCAATTAAAATTCAAAATTTTTGTTTGTATTTCATTCTTTAGAGCAAAGTTTCTATCGCAACGTTTCAGTAAAACAACGCATAAAATAAAAATCTCTTAAAAATGAAACCCCGAAACTGCTTTACACTTTAAAACACACAAAAAGACACTAATTAGAACAGAAAAAACACACGCACACTAACAACGTTTTGAAAAAGTAAACATTTCTTATATGATTTGTGAGATTAATTTGGTTTTTAATTTGCAGCCGTTGAAAATAAAACGTGAATTAATATTTAATAAAAAATTCCATTTAAACGAGTATGAATAAAAAATTAATTCTTAATAAAATATTATTTATAATATCAGCAAAATAATATTTTTATTTTTTAATTTACAAAAACATTAAAATATAAATATCACTAACTTAATTCTGGAACAAAGTTTGTTTTAACTAGGTTAATTATTACCTAATTTACTTCCTTCCTCCCCTTCTATAATAAGACCACTTATGTGAGTGTAATGATGAGTTATTTATTTGATTTGTTCGCAGTAATGCTTTTTTTCCTCGAATTTGCTCGGTTCCAAACTGAAAGTGGGGCAACGACCTCCGAAAAGTAGCCTTTCGCTGGTTAGCAACGTCGATGCACCGAAATCCTACATTCGCTTGAGATAGGTCAGGCCAAAATATAAACTTCATCCAAGGCTACACGTATATTTCACTCGTTTGTTCGCTACTGATAAAAAAAACCATTGCAGTCAAGCAAGCAATTTCGACGACGGAAATAATTCAATTTTTTCCCGAGTTTCTCGAACGAGAAGGCGCGTCACGCGGACAGGAAGTGACAAGGCTTGGAATTCGGGGCCGAACTTGATCGACACTTCGAAGGTTCCAAAGTTGGACAAGCGAAGTCGGAAATGAAAAATTGCAAAAAAATTCAAGTGTTAAAAATTGTGTGGCTTACGTGAAGTCCTGGTTGAAGTTGACGAAGTAGACGCCGTTGTTGGGATCGGCGGCTTGCCCGGCGAGGTTCATTAGGCTCGATATTCCTGCTTTGATGCCAGCTGACAATACATCTATCCCGTGGACGAAATTTTGCATAAATGTTGCGTAAAATCGCACGACTACGGCCTTGATGGCATCACTCCATTTTGCTTGATACAAGCCCACCAGCTGATACAGCGATAATGCTCCTCTTGTATTTACGTTGCTGCCGAGCTCGAAGCCAGCGCGCCCTCTGATTGGTCGAGGCGTTCGCGAGTGCTCGCCCGACCAGCGCCCGACGGCCGCGGCCGACCAATCAGCGCGCGGCGACACCGATTCGCGCTGTTTTCTGCTGCGCAAAAGGGGCGACGAGCGCCCCTGCCACCACCTCGGCCACTTTCGGCAACACTCTCAATACGTTTCTGCAAAATTATACATCCGAATGGGGAATTTATTTAGCTCACGTTTTCCCTTTACATTTGATTGAGTCAAAAACAACAGATTGAGCTGATTTGCAAATAGGGGTTTCTTCTCTTCAATGAACTTGATGAGAGAAGTGACTTTGAAATTTTCACAAGAAGCCAGCAAAACTTTTATTCCCACCGCGTGCAGTTTTTTCCGTTTTTTCTGTGCTTAATTTTTGCAGTAGTTCTATTGTGTGGCTGCAATGCACATAATATTCTCTCACGACGTTTTTAGCATAATTCGCAAAAAAATGTAATACTTGTCACCACTTTGCCACTTCTTGAGTGTTATTGCTTTACACTAGCTTTTCTAATAAAAAAATAGCTGAATTAGAGCATGTCTTGTGCAAATACAAAAAAATCGTTTCAGTTTCGTGTTTCGTCTTTACAACTGAAACATTATGAATACTTGAAATTTTCCAACCAAAATAAGATTTAGAAAAAAAGACATAATAAAATTTATATGATTACAAGATTTTTTTTATCATTTTTGCTTTTTTTCGCTTTTTTCCTAACTATTCGTGTTTTTTTTTTCTCTAGCATCTCGCTGTAATATATACGTAAAATCAAAAATATTTACCTGTTATAAAATATACGTTTAGAGAACATTTTTTTTCCAAATAAATATAAAATAGGTATAAAAGGAATACGTAATAAATCTAATAAATTATTAAAAGTTTGCAACTAATACATAGTGCTTATCTAATAATAATACTTTTATTAAACGCTTCTGCGAACAACTACAACCTACAAACAATGAAAACTACAAAAAGCTACAAAACACCACCGTGGTAATAATTCTATTTTCGCGCGCAGATGCCTCAAAATTACCTTCGTAGAAAAAGACATCCAATCAGCGCTCGCCGTCCGCTCCAGCTGTTCTCGTTTGGCAAAAATATTGCAAACACGTCGAAAGCTGAAGAAAACACGTTAACACGCAGAGTCGCCGTTCTCCTGCCCGAATCCGCAATGCCGTAGAAATTTTTGCAATGGTCTTCTAGCCGTCCGGATATGGATTCACAAAGAGGAAGGAAAGGCAGAGGCCAGAAAAATGCGTGGGGCGTCCCGAAGCCTGGGCCCCGGCAGGAGAACAATTCATCAGCAAAGGTAGAAAAAAATAAAATAATTATGAAATAATCTCATTTTCATCTATTCTTCTCTTTTAATTTTTTTAATGTTTGTGTTAATTAATTTTATTTTATAGACGAATCACTCGAATCAGCAAAAAAAGGAATTAGAAAGGGCTGATGCAGAGAGACGATTTCAAGCAGCAAAAGCGAAACTTGAGAGTTCTGTTCAAAAGCACCTGGAAGCTGATTCTCCATCCTCTGATGAGGACGATGAGCTGCAAACGGATAATATTCTGGGTTAGTCTTTAATAATTAGTACACAGGAAAAAAGCAAAAACATTGAATTAAAAAAAGGATTAAAATTGATCAGATTAATAAAATTATAATTTTTAGAGAAAGTCCTACAATCATACACATCTACTGGTGGAACAGACTTAGGAAGAATCAATCACTTTCTTCAGGAAGTTTTCCAGTCGGGAGCTGCGACTTGTCTCATCTGCATCGGAACAGTGAAACATGCAGATGCTGTAATTTTTGAGTTCTATATCTCCAATTTTTTTTTTAAACAATTTTTGCATTCAGATATGGAGTTGCAACAAGTGCTTCTGCTTTTTCCACTTGCCTTGCATCCAGCGCTGGGCCGCAGACTCTGTCGCGCAGCAGAAAAAAGCTGCCGAAGAACTGACTGCCCCTTTCGAAGTGGCACCAATCATCCAGTGGGGCTGGTGAGTTTATTTCTGTAGCTTAAAAACTGGAGAACAAGTGTTAAAAATAACAAAAATTGCAGCCCTAAATGTCGAACAGAGCATCTGCCAAGCGACACCCCTCAAAAATACCAGTGCTTCTGCGGCCAGCGAGAAAATCCGCCCTTCAAGGAATGGCTCGTTCCACACTCGTGTGGAGAAACTTGCCAGAAGCCTCTACAACCCGAATGCGGTCACAAGTGCCTCCTTTTGTGCCACCCTGGCCCTTGCCCTTCTTGCCCTCAGGTAGTTTTGTCCACCTGCCACTGCAAGAAAAGTAAACCATTCCCGAAAAGATGCTCGGACAAATTTTGGACTTGCGGCTCCATGTGCGGAGCAACTCTGGCCTGCGGAAAGCACCAATGTGAGAGTCTTTGCCACCCTGGAGAGTGTGAACCCTGCCCTCGGACCAGCAAACAGTTCTGTCTCTGCAAAACCACGTCCCGAGAACAGCCGTGCGCCAGTCCGGCGTGGCAGTGCGAAAAAGTAACACCCTCAATTGATCTTTGACTTTTCAAAATGTATTTGTAACAAAATCAGGTTTGTGGAAAAATTCTCTCCTGCGGGAACCACAACTGCTCTGATGTCTGCCATCGCCCTGGTCAATGTGGCCCATGCCCAAGATCGGGCAAGAGAACCTGTCCCTGTGGAAAAAGTCATGTCCAGAATATTCCTTGCACGCAGGATGTCCCCACCTGTGGAGACACATGTGGCAAAACTTTGTCTTGCAAAGCTCATCAGTGCTTGGAAAGGTGTCACAAGGAGAGTTGTGGAATTGTAGGTCTTTTTTATTTCAATCAAATTAATAAGTTTTATTTTAAAACGATTTTCAATTTCAGTGCCTACAAGTCTCGGTGAAATCATGTCGATGTGGTAATCATGAAAAGGAGATGCCCTGCCACAAAGAATTCACTTGCGAAGTCAAGTGCAAACGTCCAAAAAATTGCATGAGGCACCCTTGCAATAGAAAAGTATTCCTTTAGACTATTAAATTTAATAAAAGTCAAAACTGTAAACATTTTCAGTGCTGTGACGGCCAATGTTCGCCATGCGAGAAGATCTGCGGCCGTCAACTGACTTGTGGGAAGCATAAATGCGCGGCTGTTTGCCACACTGGGCCGTGCTACCCTTGCCCTCTCAATGACACCTACAGTTGTGCCTGCGGCGCTGCCAAAATGACTTTGCCTTGCGGAAGAAAGAAATTGCTCAAACCACCCAAGTGCAATTTGAATTGCAAGTACGCTCTTGTTTTAACTAATTACAAAATTTTTTGGCAATTTTATTTTCAGATTCCCGTCTGACTGTCACCATCCGACGAGAGTGCCTCACAAGTGTCACCTTGGAGAGTGTCCACCTTGCAAACAAATTTGCAAGCTCACCCACCCCGGATGCAAACATTCGTGTCCAGCACCTTGTCACTCCTCAGTTTGGGTTACAACAGTGATTGATCCTGATAGACCTTTGGAGGGACCCTGGGATAGAAGAGAAGTCATTAAGGAAAAGAAGGCTCTCCCCTGTCCCGATTGTTTGGTTGGAATTTAATTATAATTATCATGATAAGGAATTTCTAACTTTTTTGGTCAGATTCCAATGCCTGTCATCTGTCTTGGCGGTCATGAAAAGGCGGACTGGCCCTGCTTTAAGGCAATTCCCTCTTGCTGTGGTCGGCAGTGCGGCAGAAGTCTCAAGTGCGGCAACCATCTGTGCACTCTTCTGTGCCACACAGTCAAGAATGCGCCGGATGTACTCAAAGTAAGAAATTTTAGTTTATTTTTAATTTCAAACTTGTAAATAATTAATTCAGGCTGGAACAAATTGCTCAGCGTGCGAATCGCCCTGTCAGCTTAGCCGTCCTAAAGGATGTTCACATCCTTGTTTGCTGCCTTGTCACCCAGCCCCTTGCAAGCCATGTCAGCAGAGCATCAAACTCAAGTGTCACTGCGGCTTGAACCAGCTCCTCAGACCATGCCATCAGTGGACAAAAGTTGAAAATGAGGGAAATAAAGAGGAATTGGAAAAATTGCTCAATTGCGGCAACCAGTGTCCTAAAAATTACGGCTGTGGACACAGGTGTCAGGCAGATTGTCACTCTGGTGAGTGTCCTAATCCTGAGTCCTGTAAGAAGAGGGTGAAGGTCTTCTGCCCTTGCAAGAGGTTGAAAAAGGAATTGCAATGTTGCGCAGTGAGAGATGGATCGGTGTCAGTGTCATGTGACGACACTTGCAAGGAAAGGCTTGCCAAAGAAAAAGAGGTACTATTTTATCCCTGCTTGATTTTCTTTTTAAATATAAATATTATTTTATTCCCAGGAAAGAGAACGGGAGGCTGAAAGGGTTAGAGCTGAAAAAGAGCGCAAAGAAAAAGAAGAGTTGGAGAAATTTGAAAAATGGCAGCAGGGCAAGAAGAAGTCTGGTCGTGACAAGAGGCGCAGGCAGAGTGAGCAGGAAGAGCCATCCTGGTCACAGCGTTATCTCAAAACCGTCGTTGCCTCCACCCTTGCTGCAATTTTCATTGGCTTTTTCATCAATTTGTTTCAAGCTCAAGCTTAGATTATGATAGTTATAAATTCAGTTCCTTTTTGTTCGTTGTTTTAAACGATAGTTAAACGTTTGCTTTGGGCAGAGTGGTGAGCTTTTATATCTTGCAAGTCGATCAATCAATTTTGCTGCCTCAAAGGGTTAACGACTTCAAAAGCTCATTTAGACGTCAAGTGATAGCATTCTTGCAAATGTTTGATTTTTATAAGCACAAATGAGATTTGATTGAAAAATGCTGATTTCAGAGTAAAAAAAATAAAGATAGTGAGAAACAGTTAACGAGTTTTCAGTCCAGCACCTTATCGCAATTGATGATCAATCAGCCGTCTGAGAGTTTGTGGTGTTGGCAGTAAAGGAGTGGGGACTTTGTTCATTGCCCGATTCTAAATTTGGTCACCTGTTAATCTTAGAACAGAGCTCCAGCCAGGACCATGGCCAAACCGGCTATTCCGCTCTTTGGCGAAGAATTGACGGAGCTTAAATTTGACGGGGTAATTGAGTAAATTAATTTATAAATCAAATCTGATATTTTTTTTAAGTTTCTTGACTGGTTCGTTCACGTTGAAGACCCCAGGCCCCACTGGGACGTGCAGCCCACATATCTCATTGCTCAGTTTGCATTTTTACTTGGTGGAATATGCACCTTCATTCATGGTTTTCTTAAAAAACTGATTATTCAAAAAGAAAAATATTTTAGTCAAAATAATTTTTACAGCAATATGGTCTGGAGGTAGAATGCCATTTTTGTGGCTTGGTATTCTTCTCCATGGTCTAGTTGTGGAAATGGCAGCTTACTGGGTTCCGGACATTGATAATTTTTGGCATTCGCAAACGCCCGTGATACTATTGGGACGTAGACTTCCTCTACATATTATGTGTCTTTGTATAAATTAATATAAAATAACAAAACAAAAAAATTAAAGATAATTAACAAATACATTTCAGACCCCTGCTTTCTATACAATGCTTCAGTGGCAGTTTCAAAGCTGCGCCTCCCAAAATGGGCCGAACCCTTTGCCGTAGGACTGACCGTGGTGCTCATTGATATCCCCTATGATATCGTTTCGGTCAAATTTGTTCATTGGACGTGGCACGATACTGACCCCAACATTTATGATCGACACTATTGGGTGCCATGGAACTCTTACTATTTCCACTCATGCTTTGCCGCTTCTTTCACCTTTTGGTTCCACGGCTTTCGAAGGTGGATCAAGGGATGTAATGACGGAGAGGAAACCAAGTGGAAGACAAAAGGGTTTTAATTTTTACAACTGAGGAAAATCAAATTATCTATGATGTAATATGTAATTTAAACTTATAGCTTTATCTACGAATTTGGGGTAACTTGCTTGGCTGCTTTACTGGGAATGCCTGGTGGTGTTCTTCTGTTCTTGCCACTTTACCACCCACTCCATGATATCTACGGAATACACTCGGAGGTCACATACTTCATTCTGTTCTCCATTTTCCTGGCGTTCGCTTGGTCAGGAGATAGAAAAGCCCACCCAGATGCAAAACCAAAAAGTTTGATGCATATTTATCTTCTTTCTGATTATCATTTTAATTTTGACAATCAGCTCATTTCTTGGGAAAAAGTTGGATTCTGCTGGTCCATTTGATTGTCCACTACGCTTCATTTCTCGCAATGACTATTTTCTTCAACCCTGAAGATGAAATATCAAGTGGACTTCATGAAACTGTTGGCCCGTGCAACGAAACTCTACCAGTCAATACAGCCTTTGGAATGGTAAAAATTAAAGCCCTCAGAATTTATAATAAATTTTCCTCGATTTTTAAAGGTACTGCAAAAGCGGAAATACCTTTGCACTAAAGATTATGACGAGGATTACTTTGACTTCCACTGTGTGAGAAAAACACCTTCTAACCTTGCGTCGTGGTACACGATTTGTGGCACCCCATTCAGGAACAGAGCTGAATACATTGCTGTGATTGGAGCAATTACTTTTTTGGCATTTAATGTATTGCGAAATATGCACTTTAATGCTGGAAATGAGGTTGACACTTCTAGGAGAAGCGCAGCACAACTTCTGACCAACAAAAAGAAGAGAAACTAGAGGAACCTGAACCTTGCTGAACCCAAAAATAAAAGTTTCTTAAATTACAAATATTTCTTATCTTCTTAAATTACGATTTATTAATTATTTTAATAACAAAGAAATTTAGCAGAATTTGGGAAATACCTTCAGAATCGGGAGTAGAAAATCAGCCATTCTTGTTTAAAATCCACTAAAATGAAATAAAATTGAGCACTTGCAATTCATATGGCCAAAAAAATAAATTACCTAATCATGTGTGCCACTTCCCAGTTGGATTTAAGCTCCAGAACATCAGATACAGTGACTCCGTCAGCAGTCACAATTGCCATTTGGTACTAAAAATTTGAATATTATTAAATTAATAAAAATATTAAGGTTTTAATTACCTTGGGGAATGAACGAGCGTCGCGATAGTAGAGCACCTCAAGGCACTTCTCCATGATGTCCTTCGCTTGCTGCTGAGTCATATTTGGGTTCTTCTCAGCTGCGTCTCTCAACAGGGGCAGCGCAATGTAGCCACCATACCCTGTGGCAATGTGTCTATCCTGATAAGCCATTCCCCTCAGGTCAACAGCGCCTAAGAAAGGAACGCCTTCCTGTATGCCTCCAACTACGTAATTGTTCCACAGGGGGTCAAAACGGTTCCTTCTGTTGTACATGACTCTGGTGAGCCAGGTGTACAGAGCTTTTGGCTTGAGGGAGAAACCGTCATCAGCAATGTGTTCGTCCATGCTAAAAATTTGCAAATTATTTGGTATTCGCAAGGGACAAATCAGGCAAGGATATTACATTTTCTGGTCGATGATCCTCTTCAAGTACTGGAAGTCGGCATAGTCACCACCAACTCCGACAGCGATGTTGTTGTTCACTTTCATCACTCGCTGGCAGTCACGGAACCGGGCCATTGAGCCATAAGATCCAAGGGTGTCTGCACAGATGATCACACCATTCTCAAACTTGAGACCAAGCACAGATGTTCCAGTGGTGATTGGTTGCCTAAAATTACGAAAGTTTAAATAATATCAAATGATAGAAAATAAAACATTTTCAAAAAGCAAATTTTCAAAACTCATGCCGGTCTGATGTGCAAAAAAGGTGGCCCGATTTTAAGGCAAATTTCTTGCAGAAATCTTCGAACTTACTGAGATCTCTGGGCCTCTTTATTGCAAGATCCACTCTGCATTCCTGGGAAGTTGTAGAAGGCCCCTGGGGCAGGGCCATTGTGCCAAAAACTTTTAGCAGAAAATGCATCGGTGCCGAGATGAGCCATTTCTGTTGTATTTACTCGCTTTGTCATTCCCAAGCGAAGGTGCTGCCACCAAATCAAAAAAAGCGGCCTCTCATTGGTTCAATTTCGAAATTCGAAAATCAACAAAACAGCGCGAGAATTCAAAATTGAGAGACAACATGTCGGCGCAGCAAGAAAACCAAAACATTGGCACGAGAATCTCGGATAATGCAAAAATGGTTGTGATAGATGGAAGCATTTTAGAAGGGGTACGAAAATTTTTGTTCAATTTTAAGTTAAACAATAAAATTTACCACCAACTTATCATCGCAGGGTGGACAAATCCTTCGGATAAGCGTCGCCTTGAGTGCCATCAAGAGGATTCCGGTCCAAATTAAAAATATTCGACTTGGGAGGAAGAAACCAGGCCTTGCTGAGCAGCATCTTAAAGGTTCGTTCATTCTATCATTCTTATCAGATTTATCTGAGATATTTAAATAAATGTTGATGTAATTTTACGCAAACTCAGGTATAATGCTTGTGAGGGACATGTGCAATGGTGTTTTACAAAATGGGCATGTCGGTTCAACTGAAATTACATTCCATCCAGGGGAGCTTACGAGTGGAACATTTACATCAAAGATCAGCACTGCTGGGTAAATTTTTAAATTTTGATTGGATTTAATGTAATATTTAATTGATTAATTTTTCTCAGGAGCATTGCTCTTTTGATGCAAATTGCAATACCCTGTGCCCTGTTTGCTCCTGGGCCATGCAACTTTAATTTATATGGTGGAACTGATGCTGATATGGCTCCACCAGTAGACTACATGAAATTGGTAAATTCGCATTAAAATTTGTAATTGATTGAAATTTGGATGTACTGGTATTCAAGGTTACAACCGAGTTGCTTTCAAAGTTTGGTGCTGAGCTTGAAACAAAAGTCATAAAAAGGTATTTATCTAATAAAATAGCTGGAAACATGTAAAATGTTTTAATCACAAATCGACTGCCGTTCCCCTTTGCAAGTAAAGTCTAGTGCAAAGGTTTTAATGTGGTCGAATAACAATTTGAAGCTTCTTCACCCATTTTCACTATTAGCTGAAATGCTGAGACACTAAGTGAATTTGGTTTTGCTTGCTTCTACATTTCTAATATTTTGATAAGTTAATTAGCAGATTTTATTTTTTAAATTCCTTTTTATTCATTAAAAAAATCTTTTTTAGAGGATTTTTCCCCAAAGGTGGGGGTGAGGTTCATGTCTCCGTTCAAAATGCAAAGGAAGGCCTCCGGCCTGTGTCTTTGACAAATCCAGGTGTCTTGGAATCTCTTACTGGTGTTGCTATCGTTGGAGGATCATGCCCAATGAAGGTATTTTTTTTTAACTAATTTTTTTTTTATTCACTTTAATAAAAATAACCTTAACAGGTTGCAAACGACATGAAGAAAGGTGCTGAAAACGTCTTGCTTGAAAAGTTCAGCATCAGACCTAACATTTCTGTCCAGCAATGTCCTTCATTCTGCCCTGGATCTAGTTTATTGTAAAAATAATTGCACAGCATTCAAGCTTGATTCTATTATAAAACATGTAACAGGGTTGTTGGAAAGTCCTCCACAGGATGTATTTATGGAGTCAGTGTAATTGGAAGTAGGTCTAGAGTGGCACTTCAGCAAGGAGAGCAGGTGGCTATTGAACTTGCTGAAATTGATCCTGACCACTCTTGCGTTGATTCGTATGCACAGGACCAGGTATGGAATATTAAAATGTTAAGCGAAAAAATCTTAATAGAAATTAATATGATTTTAGATAATTTTGCCAATGGCTCTCGCCAATGGAACGTCAACAGTGATTTGTGGACCATTGACTTTGCACACTCAGACTGCCATCGAAATTGTCAAACAGCTATCTAATGTATGTTCTCCGTAACTATCGTAATTGTCAAAATAATTAAGATTTTTCCTTTTAAACAGGCAAAATTCCAAATCGAGGAGTTGTCGGAAAAGGTTTTCAAGATTACTTGTGTTGGAGATCCACCTGGTAGATATTAAACTCTGTCTGAAAATTTCCCTTTCTAATATTTGCTTTTTTAGCTCTATAAACATTCAAAACGTCAAGTTTCTTTCCTAAGACTTGCAACCAAATCCTGCAAAGTCGTAACCTTCAGTGCCTGACCCTAGGCAGGTCAGTTCTAGAAAATGAGTGCAGGGTCATTTTCTAATCTCCAAAGCTCAGTCAAATCTCTTGTCGTCGTATATCTTTAGGTAAGAAATTTATTTTCATTCCAATGTTAAGCATAAAGTTTCCAAATTAAAAAAAAAAATCAAAAAATGATTTCAAAATATACCCATTATAAGAAGGGTTATTAATCACAGTCATTAGCAAAAGCTAATAAATCTTGCTAGTCTACTTTTAATTGAAGAATAGGTAAAGAAATATCAGTGAGCTGTATTGTCTGGTTTTTAATTTCGGAAAAACCTTCACAGTTCTAGATTAGATAATATCGCTCAAGTTGATTTTTGTTGGGGACCAAAAATTAGTTCTTGATATTGAATGTAAAAAATGGATGAACATTATCAGGCAACTTAGAAATTTTTATTGTTTTATCGGGGGAAATCCAGAATAATCTGCCTCTCAAATCTATGTAAACCCATGTGGCATTGTAGACCATATTTTATTTCAGAACTTGTGTATTCACATAGTTTGCAAGGGCCTTAATGCCTTCCCAAGTTTCAGACACAATCGGTAGAATATCCTCTGGGAGGGGTGCAAAACCAAATTCACCGCCGGCTGGTAGCTCCCACGTGTAGGAGTAGGTGTTGTTGTTTCCAACTGCGTACGCGTAATCCATGCTCGCTCCAACAGCAGGGACTATTTATAAAAAGGGAATTCGTTTGAATTTTTTCATCGTATTGTCACTGAAAAATATTCTCACAATAAACGTTGGCGCTACTTCCGATCACAAATCTTGTGCCGTTCACAGCTTCAATCGCTGTTGCTGTCAGATTAGCAGCTTTGGCCTGGTAAATAAACATGCTCTGAACAATATAATATCCGCAATCTTAATTACTAACCAGCTCGTCATATGTAACTGGAAACTCGTACGTGAATCCCCAAGGATAAATCAAGAACTGGAAAAAAAATTAAATTTATTGAATTAAGATGGGTTAAAATAATAATACTGTTCCATAGCAGTGTGTTGACATATAAAGAGCGAGGCCTCCATTATTTTCAATATCCCTGAGTGCAGATCCGATTGCTGAACTCTCAGCTTCTGAAAACGCTGCTACTCCTCTGTAAGCCTCGCTGCAGGGGTTTGCATCTCCGTCAACTTAAAATTTTCGTGTGAGCAAAATGGGCAAAAATCTTTTTACGTTTAGTCCAGTACTTCCCCAATTGATGTCATAATTTCTGTTCGGGTCTGTGCCAACGCAATCAGAGCCAACATTCGGACTCCTGTTTTTCCTCCAGAAACGATCCTAATTAAATAAAAGTTTTAAGGGAAAACCTAGTTTTAAAAGGCCTGGCAGACCTCATTGAATGTGTAGTTGTAGCCGTCGGGATTAGCCACCGGTAATATGTACCAATCAAACAAATCGACCAGTGCTTTGTTCTGATCATAATTTTCGACGAGCTCAAATATTGCCTTCAAAGCCAGAGGGTGGGTAATGTGCTCCCTGGCATGTGTTCCCGCGTCCAGAAAAATGCCTCTCTTGCCCGGCCCGTTGCTCACTTTGACGGCCCTCAAAGGGTTGCCCTCGTAGGTGGTTCCCAACTCGAGCAAACTTGAATGCAAAGGGTAATTTTGAACTACCTCCGCAGTGTAGTCAAGAATCTTTGATTAAAAAAAAAATCGTAAATTTAAATACAAAGAAATAACTTTTTCTCTTTTATACCTCTTGGAGGGTCATGTAACGGTCAAAAGAAACAGCTCGATTCAATGGAATGTCCATTAGCTTTTGACGTTTTTCATCTGCTTTTGCCAAAACTCTGAAATAATTTATCGAATCACTTCAAATTTAAAGTAAAATTTGGTAAACCTTACGGCCCAACATCTTCAATGTAAACAGAAGGTGCCAAATTCAAGTGCTCAAGTTCACTCCAGAGCTTTCCAATTGAAATCTGCGAAGTCATGACGTGCAAAGGGCGACCGACGGCAGGTCTGGCCCAGAATATGTACTCGGGATCATTTTCTAGTCTCCGAGGCTCTGATAAATCCCTCAGAGTAACAGTTCTTGAGGTTATTACTTGGTACCTAATTTTTAATTAGTTAATTTTATACTTTTTAACTTTTATCAAAATACTTGCCCGTCGTAAGATTTATATGCACTGACGACAAAAATTGTCGACAGAAAACATGCCAGCAACCTCATTGTGCTCAAAAACTGGTAGAATTGACAGCTCTGATGGGTTTCTACTTCATTATATTTAACTGATTAAGATATCATCCAAGTACTGATTTCTGTTTATCACATCGCGCTCCTACCATAATTATTGATTTATTGATTTTGGCGAAGAAAACTAAAAAATGAGAACAATATTTTCTTAATTATTCTTAAATTATCAATTTTTCGACGTAATGCGTAGTTTAAAAAAATTGTTATTTTTGCATTATTTCTTTATTCCATTTGTTATTAATTTTTTTTTTTTTACATTGTTGTTTATCAAGCTTCTCTGGAGACTAATATACTTATTATGGCACAACAATGCGCGTGATTCTTTTTAGAAATACAATTTTTGAGTCAATTGTTGCCTTCATCAAGATCCGTCTTAATCAAAAGCTCTGCATTCCTTGCTGATTGATTCTAGTTTTTCTAGTAAAAAGCTTATGCAGGAACACTTCAGTATGACTAAATTAAAAGAGCACATCGTTCTGCAGTACGCGCACAAAGACAGCCTCGAATATGTCACACAGCTGAATATGGTGTAAGTTAAATCAAATAATTTTTAATTGAAAAACATTTGGCGATTGTTTCACGTTCCGAGCACCAAAAGTGAGCACCGGAGTGGATGCGCCGCTCGGTGCGCCTCGCGACCGGCGCGCCTCGAAACTAACTCGGTCCGTGTTATTTTTTCTTCTTCCTTGGACGGCGATTTCTCCTCCGTCAATCCGCGGCAGTCGGTGTCTGTGCGCCCGCGAGCCAGGTGTTGCGAACAAAGACCTGTCCGCGGGGCCCTTTCGCATATGAATACTGCACTCTAGCTGTGCTAGGTCTTGGCGTGGCTTGTGTGCACCGCACTCGCCAAGATGTCAAAGTTGACGGAACCGATGATCATCGCGCGGGCCAAGTCGTCCGATCTGAACACCATCAAAAAATTAAACTGCTGGTGAGTGTGCCTCTTGCTCATTCGACTTTGCCAAAGGAAAGGAGACAAAAACGCCAAGCACGTCTCTCGCTCAATCACGCTTTTTGCTGAGAATTTAAAATCAGGCATAATTAAATGTTCATTGTCTTATACAGAAAATCCTCTTTGCTCTAAATTTTCTAGTGATTTTTATTTTATTATTTTTATTCTACCTTTTAAAAAATCTGTTTTTACAAAATATCGGGCTGTGTTTGCAATTTTATCTCTGTTTAAATGAACAGTTTTTTTTCAACAAATTTGAAAAAGAAGAAACACAAAATTTACAAAATTAGGATAAAAGGATACATATTTTCCAAAAAATAAATAGTCTATTTTTCACTCTTTCTCTTTCTAAATTAAAAAATTGGCCAAATTTTATTCGTCTTAAAAAATTGTTTGAAACAGCTCTTTTAATTGATTCAAACTGCTTGAGTAAGAAAGTAAGTGTTTATGGAGATAAGGAAACGTTCAACCTATAAAATGCAACGCCCGTCTGCAATTGTGCAAAAGTGCACTGTCAATCGATCACAAAGATGCAGCTGGACGTAGTGCGTAATTGACGCTGTTTGCGCCACTGCGATGCCTCTCGATGATTGTATAATTATTCGCTCGCGTGCTGCAAATCAGTCGCGTCGAGGATGCACCTGGCACTGACAATGAGAGACTTTGAGACTCATTAACAATTAATCCCGACACAAACCGATCGCTTTGCCACTTGACAGAAGCAAGTATAATTGGCACTCGGCCGCCGCGAATCAATATGCCACACCGAGAATAGCGAGTGTCAGCACAGAATCCGTTCAAGTGCTGCAAATATATTAGCAGCCGGAAAATTCGCATCAGACGCGAAAAAACGCCGCCTCGGTCAGTGTCCGATTATTGATTCGGATTAGGCGAAAAATCAGAATAACGGTCGTAGAAAAAAAGGGTCGCTTCTCTAGTCTCTGATACACGGAGCCGAGTAACGGAATTGGACAAACCTGCCTAGCCTCTAAATAATAATTCCACTCGCGTTGATTTGCGATCAATTAACTCTGAGGAAATGAGCTACTTTTTTCTTTCATCATCCGTTTTGTCTCCCGCGGAGAATGTAAAGGGAAGGATTTTTGTTCTGAATGATCATGTCGCGAGAGCCAAGCAGTTTCCTGATCAAATATGTACAAAAGACAAGTAGTTCTCGCGGGCTGCGCTCAAGTAATGATTATGAAGAACAATGAAGAATGTTTTCTTTTTCTTGACGTCGTGTTTAAGTACTTGGGAGTTACACATGCTGGCGCAGAATTTTCGCACCATTGTCGTGTTTTCGCAAGCTCTTGCATGAAAGTTTCAATTAAATTCACACTAATTTAACACAAAGAAAATTCGGTCAAGCGAGAGCTGAATGAATTATTAATAATTATATATCAAATTTGCTTATTTCATCTAAAATTTAGTATCAAAATCTTTGTGAATTCAAGTGCATTATGTATAAAAAATTTAGTATAATGAATATTATCTTAAATCACAAAGAAATATGCTGAAAATATAACAAATAGTTAAATATACATAAAGCAAACTTTAATTTTATTGTGATATAAAGATGAGCAAATTTATTATTTCTGCATGATACAGCAAATCCCTGCTCTACTAGTTTCGGTTGCGCGTTGCAACCCTAATTCATGAGCTTTTGAAAAGAAATAAGCTGACATTTAACCATTTTAAGTACATCTAATTAAATTAACATGCAAATAATATTCAGAAAATTTTAAAAATAAATTAAAATATTTTTCTTCCTAATTTTGAACACAAAATATTGGAATTAATTTAATTTAATTCGGATTAAATTCAACAAGCTGACAAATTTGTAAAATGTGGGGGGAAACAAACACCTCGAGAGCCAAAAGGTTCCACAAAAAGAACGACAAGAACCTATATAGTAACTTTAATTTTATATTTTATTTTTCTTATTCTGTTTGTGCCAGGTTTGTGCTTATTTTTTAAACTTTTATGTGCCATGCAGTTTTCAATCCTTTAAATTTGGAATACAAAATATTTAATTAATGATAATTTCTATGATTATTTATAATAATAATAATAACAATAATTTTGCTGTTTCAGGGGCAACGAGTTGACTGACGTGAGCCTGGTGCAGCGAATGCCTAATGTAGAAGTTCTGGCCCTCAGGTGAGTTCCTCTTCATTGTTTTGCCCTCGCTCTCTCTCTCTCTTCTTTCAATCTCGCGAATCCTCTTTGGTCTCCTGCTGTGAGAGACAAGGGTCACGGTGTGAGGTTAGGAAAACACGGCGAACCATTCACACGGGTAATTACTCTTCTCGGCGTCTTCCTGCAGACAACAAATCGCCATACGGTGCCAAGCCCGAGCGACCGACTAAAATTAAAATGCACGCGGCGTGTGTCAAAAGGCAAAGGTTCAAACCTAGTTCAAACAACCGTCCTCTGAATTTTCGCTATTTTGCGCGGATGGAATGAAAACCTTGTGCGCTTCAACTTGAAGGCGTAATTCGATTTGCTGAGAATAAGCAGGCGCGCGTGCTGTTCGTGGGTTGAAAAGTGATGAAATTCATCTGGCTATGGTAACTGAGTCGTGCAGACTTGCTTGCAAAAAATTTGCGTGGAAACGCATTAAGGGATTATATTTTACAAGTCGCTCAATGCTTTTATTTTACACCCATGAAAGAAGGCTTAAGTTTTGTTTTGAACAGCGCTCTTTCCTGGCAATTCGGAGGCGTGAAATCATACATTTCTTGAGTGGGAGCAACTTATACATTTGACCTAACCTTAACTTAAAAATTTCCAAATTGACATTTAATATTTCAAACGGATAAAAAAATAAAATGCTCCATTAATTTTTTAAAAAGTGTAGCTATAAATACAAATTATATTTTTTTTATCTTCACTTCTTCAATTAAAATTTTTATTTGAAATGGTTGAAGCAATTTGTGTGCATTGAAAAGTTCATTGGTTTTTCTAGAAAGGGAAGTAGTAAAAAACATTGATGAAAGGCGAAAACAAGAAGTCCACTCGTGTTAATGAGAACCGACCTTGCCGACGATATTGTTATGCCATTTCGCCGCGACAAACACAAACACACAGCCCCTTATATCCATTGTTACTGGCAACTCAACACGCAGTCAACACCCTCTTTGTTTAATGAAAAGTTACAACTGAGAAACGAGTTTAAAGTCATTTAATTAGGTCGGTACCTTCACAATTTACTAAATAATAATGTTCTTGAAATTTAAAATAGAGATACAATTTAAATTAGATCCATAAAAAATGTGTTCATACGAATGGTTTTGATTTAATTTGTTTCAATATAAACTTATGCTGAAAAAATCAAATAAATACAAATTAAAACAAATTTTTTTTATTTGCAATGTTACTTTTTTCTCACTCAATTATGCTTCATTTGATTGTTTATTTAGATTTTTCAATGCTTCTCGTCCGAGCTAATAAATGTGTTATTTTGTAAGCTGAGCTGAACAATGGCGAAGATGATTCTTTGCTCGTTACTCGCCCTTGCGTCACTCAATCGCGAAATTAAGTAATGAAGTTCGATCGCGATGTCAATTGCGGGCGTTCGATAATTTTCCAATCAATTTCCGCCGTTCCATTCGAAGACAATGGCGAGCAGAAATCGTTCGAGCGATTGTTGAGAATTCACGGTCTGCTGTGTGGTTCTGGAGAAGAGTTAAAAGTCGCGTGGGTTTGTGACTTTAGCACACCTTCCTCGCGAGAAGCGAAAGCAAAGCCGGTTCCGCCCACTGGAGCCGTGTGCGCCTTAAATGGGAACATCTACCTGAGGAGTTGTTCCAGCGCGCTGCAGATACAAATAATAAGTTTCCTAATCGCCATTTATGCGCACGGCACGGCTCGAGTTCGCTCTCTGTAAAAGTCCAAGTTTAATTAACTTGGTGATAGAAAGAGAGGTGGAATTTGAAGGGCAGTCGCGCATTTTTGTATCTTTTCGTCCAGCCAAATTCTCACAACGAGGACGTGACTGTTTTCATGTAAATGGGAAAATGAGCATAAAAAATTTCTGGCTGTTGCACGATAAAAAGTGCTTCAAATACAACATTCATACATTAACAAAATATAAAATTTAGGAAGGAAAATACTGTTTTGACCAATTGTCGCATTATTTAATAAAAAGTCACATTTTTCTTCGTTCGCATGAATTACTTTTAATTAATTTAATTCCAATTCAGTTTTGTTCATTTTGCTTCAAATAGTTAAATTTAAATCGTCATTTATGCATTGTTAACGCTTACTTGTATTTATTTCCGAGCTTGGCATGTGCATTTTATCTTATTTCCCATTATTGCCAAGCTGCTGTTGGCAAATCCATCGCCAACATTGGCATTGCTCGAGTGCTCTTGAATTGTTAATCTTATCGGCGCCATGTGTGCCTAGCGCAGATTTCCTTTTTTTCGCCCAAATCCATTTCAACTCAATTTTTATGATATAATATTCCGCTCTTGCCAATAAAAAAAATGAAATAATAAATTGCCACTTTATCAATCGGTGTTTTTCAAATGAAAGGAAGCACCGAAAAGGAAAAAGTTTCACTCACTATCAGGCTCTATAAAGGAAGCTGAATCTTTTTCTAGCGTTGCAGCCAAGCGCATCACACGCCTTTTTCGTGAGTGCTGATAAAAACTAAGTAAAGCTAGTGTGCAAGTGAAAGTAATTTTAATGTAATCGCAAAACAAACCGCACTGCCGTGACTCACATATTACGCTGCGTGGTCGGCCAAGTACAAAAACGAGCACTTCGTCCTGCGTGGGAACTGTGAAAATTGATTGCGGCGCGCGGGTTTATTTCATGCAGCAACATTCAAGAGCAACTCCTTTAACGTTGGTCACGCATTATTGGCCGCAATTCACGGCAGACGACGGCATTTATTTTCATTTGCATGCTCAAAAAGAACCGCAGTGAGTCACTCCGCCGTGTGGGACGCTTCGAATGTGGCACCTTGTTAATTATCTCTTGAATCCAAATTGCAAAATGAATGTTAGGCCAACGGGCGGTTTCCTCCGCATATATATTAAAATCCATCTCTCAAGAGAGCAGACTGACAGGTGGATATCAAATCAAAGTGACAATTAATAATCCGACATTGATTTATTGCCTAGTTGAACACGGAACTATGTAGTTTTTATTAAAAAATATAAGCTATGCTAAACAATGAATGAAAATTTTACGCTCTGGAAACCAGTTAAGAACCAGTGATAAAATTATTTTAAATTTTAGCATTAATAAATGACACGTGCAGCAATAGCATTTTGTGAAAATTGACTTAAAACTTCAATTTTCAATTTAATTTAATAGTTTAAAAGTAATCAATTTTCCATTTTAAATTTAAATAAAATTTGAGGTACAACAACTCTCCGTATCTGGTTCCTGAATTAATTTTTCGATGGATATCTGCATGATCGTATTTTACATTTTGAGTTTGCCAATTTAACAAATTTCAAGCACGAGTTATTCAGATTTAAACCTTACGTCAAAGGAACAAGTTTGTGTCTATTGAAATGTCAATTTAGCTTGCAAAAATCTGTTTAACTGCCCTTTAAATTTTATCATACAGGAGCTAAAATATTTATGCAGTTCATGAATGGATCGTAAAATTTGCTCCTAAATATTATCTTGCAAAAACTGAAACTTGTTTACTCCTTCGCTGGATCCGTCATCTGTGAAACGAGATATTTGGTCGACCTTAAAGATATTCATTTTATTCCTCTCTTCTCGCACCAAAACGAGCAACAAGGAAAGTCGTCGATTCGAATAAACCCGGGCGTGGTCTTCGGAACAAAAATCCTCTCTGGCCAATGTCAAATGAACTACGACACAACTCGCCGTGTTGTGGAGCAGTTTCCGATTATTTGTTTTTTAATGAGCAAAAAGGAAAGCATTTTGGCAAACAAAAAATAATGCATCCAACACACCGTGAATTTGCACGCTTTTGTGCTTCTGAGGAAGGAAACTGCGCGACGTGAAGTGAACAGTTGTGTGCAGAGTTTTTGTTTCCTTTGCCAAATAACGTGGGCAAACATGGTGAACCAAAACGGTGCGTCCTCCTATATTTTGTGCATCGAATGCGCTGTGGGAAGATTCAAATGGACAGATTCGTGATTCACCGCGTTTATTGCTTTGGTGGCGTTGACGACCCGCTAGCGAATAAAAATCAAATATTGCAATAGTAATTTCAACCCACCCATAAGACAATAACGTCGTGTTATTATGCAAATAAATCTCGTTGAATTTTTAAATTTGATAAAGCTTGCATATCAATTTTCTTCAGCATAAACATGAATTCACTAAAACAATAAACATTATAAACAATGTTTAAAAAATAAATAAATGAACACCATAAAAAAATTCATTAAAAAATAAAAAGTATTATGTTCGTCAATTTGTGTTGATCTGCATAAAAATTAATATAAATTCAAAGGATATTATTTATTATGTTTATTTACAAATTTTTTTGGACAAAATTGATATGTACTTGAGGAGATGATCATTGATCTTAGAAATTGGGCTTTTCCTCGTTGCAAAAATCGAGCTGTTTTTTTTATGAATAAAAATAATTTTCGCAACGAGGAAAACCCCGATCAATTATTTACAAAATAATTTTTTTGCGTCTAAAGACTGCTCCACTATTTACCCCCCGTCGTCGCTAACGACCGTCTGGAGACTCTGAAGGAAAGTAAATTCCATTCTTTGGATAAGCGATTGAGAGATCACCGCATTCACGTATAAATTCGCCGTCGCGGTTTTTGCCCTTTCGCCTTTTCCAGCTTGGATGAAGTGTGCACGCAGGCGGTGCTGCTGGCTTTGCTCGGCGCCTGCCAGTCAGATCAATAACCAGCCGGTCGGTCTGCTATGCTATTCCGAGACCTAGTCAACAAATATACATTTTCACCTGAATCTGCTGACGGGCATTAATAAAAATTCCTGCTCGGAAATATCCCGGCGCCTGCGAGTCTGAGATTAAGTGATGCCAAAATAAATCTGCGACCCAAATCTATTCAAAAATTTATTCATGCAGAAGAACCTTTATGGAGGGGAGTATCAATCTTTCAAAGAATAAAAAATGTGTCTTCTCTCACCTAAAAATCTCCTTTTGATCGCCCACACATGCACCAAAGTGTGCGCAAGGC